TTTTTTTTTTTTTTTTTTTGTTCATCTACATGTATTTCCCTGAAAGGAGCAGTGGATTTGGTTTTGGGTCAATTCTTGCATTTCACTGAACCAGAAAGGAAACTGAACAGATCCAATTCCTTTTGGGGTTTCTTTTCCCATACCTGTTCTGTAAATGCTCTGTTTTTTGAGCTGTAGGAGTAGGACAGCATCTAAAGAACACCAACTTTAGATTGTTTTGTTTTTTTTGCAAATTGGTCCTCTGTCTTTTGTTTAATTTTTCTGATTTGTTTTCTTTTTTGTTGAAAATTACAATTGAAGTGACATTATCAATCTATTTTTTAAAGTGATGCTCATTCATCTCTCAGCTTTTCTTCCATTAGAAAGTTTTAAACACTTTTGTAAGTGTTTTGGATGAACTTAACTCCCTACCAATCACTTAAAAGAATCCTTTCAATATTCTATATAGGAATTCACGAGATCTATAGATCGATATTCTCATATTCTAAGAAATCTAACCATGCAACATTTCAAGTCTACATGGGAGGCACACCTTGAGTCGTGGTGGGCCATCTTTGGTGATTTATAGCTAGGTATTGAGAAATCGAGTCGTTGATATCTCTCATAATAATACACTCTAAAGAAATCTGACAATGTGATCTTTTAAATCTATGTGAGAGCACCACGGCTTGAATTGTGGTGTGCCGATGGGACTCGTTGATATCATCTTATGAAATGTTGCTTTTAGTGTTGAGCTTTGGAAATTAATATTGTAGCGTATAATGATGATGAAACATTTTTCATTGATGGTTTAAATTATATATATATATATATATAAATAAATAAAACTTGAAACAATGGGCTTTTTATGCAGGCCGGCCCATGTATGAGAAAATTTCAAAAAAGCCCATTTCACGATCTCATCTACGTTGCTCTGGAGCCCAATTTCAGAAGCCCCATTGTTGAAAATTTATCACATTAGCCCTTTAATTATACATTTATTACAAATCTGCCCGTGGTATCTTTTTTTAATTTCTTATGTTCCCTTATTTCGATTTAAAAACAATAAATTTTTTATCCATTTATACCAAATATCACATAAATAAATTTAATTAATAACTATAAATATGATTATATTTTTGTCCAGCTTTTTAATATAATTTTAATTAAAAAATAATTATAAATAAATATATATATATATATTTTTTTAAAATTTATTTTATTAATAAATTGATAATTTAATGGCGTGAATATAAAAGATGAGGACATAAATTAACCAACAATTCAATAAATCCTTCCCTCTCTCTTTCTCTTGGAGGAAAAAAAAAAAAAAAAAAAAAAAAAAGATGATCATGCTTTCATTGATGAGTTGAGTTCGATAAGCTGAGAGTGGAGAAGAATTGGTTGGCTTTGGCCAGAGAAAATGGCGAAGCTGCTTCCATGTCTTCAAGCTCCCCATCTGGTTTCTTCCATCAATCGGGGAACCCTTTCTTTCATTCTCTCCAAACCAATTCCGTTTCGCTCTTCTTCTTCGTCTTCCTTCTTACAATGTCGCTTCGCTTTCGCTCTTTCTCCTTCTCCTGCCTCACGCCGCTGCCTCTCTGTTCGAGCATTCGAAGACTCTGCATCGGAGACCAAGCGCCTGGATAGAGAAGAAGCAGATGCTGCAAACGAGGTTCCGATGAACAGTGAAGGCGGGAGAGCTCGCGATGAGGATTATCCAAGCGGAGAATTCGAATTCGAGAAGTTTGGCCCGTGGAGGAGCTTTTTGGTGAAGCTTAAGATGCTGGTTGCCTTTCCTTGGGAGCGCGTTCGTAAGGGCAGTGTCTTGACTATGAAATTGCGAGGACAGGTTCGGTTTCTTCGTTCTTGCTCAGCTATTTAATTTCGTAAACGAGCTACTTGTTGTTCACGTTGTTTAATTTTCTGGAAGAAAATGAATGTTTGTTGCTGCTGGAAAGTGTTTTTGATTCTTATATTCCACTCCATCCATAAGTTATTAGCTGCGGAAACACTTCAATTTGGTGGAAGAAAATGGATGTTCATTACCGTTCTTGTTTTTTTCGTTCTAATGTTACTCGAATTACTTCAATCATTGATCGGATAAAATGGACTTGGGTCGCCATTCATGTTCGCAGCTGGAAGTTGTGTTTTCGGTCTAATGTCCTTGATTATTGCAATTATGTTGACGATATTCAGTGAAAAATTTCGAAACTTGTTCCGGCATACATCTTTCTTGATAAATGGCATTATTAGCTTTAACCGGACGACTTTTTCTTTCTCCTCTCCCAAGTTTCTTAAAAATTATTTCTCAATGTATGTGTCAAATTTTGGAGTTGAGATTGCTCTTTTTCTTGTTCAGATATCTGATCAGCTAAAGAGCCGTTTCTCTTCAGGGCTTTCTCTACCTCAAATCTGCGAGAACTTTGTCAAAGCCGCGTATGATCCTCGTATATCTGGGATCTATTTGCAAATTGAAGCTCTAAATTGTGGGTGGGGTAAAGTTGAAGAACTTCGAAGGCATATCCTGAATTTCAAAAAATCAGGTACGCGACTCTTCTAAACGTTCAAAGTGAATCTCTGCATACAAGGCACGTTTTTAGGGGAACCATCTACAATGATCTTACAGGGGTGCGAGACAGGTGTCATCCGTTATGGCAATTTTGATTAATGTGAATAACTGGGCGGATTTCATGCAAATAGTCGAGAGAATTTCTCGGGGGCGGGGCACTACGCTGCATGTACCTATATCCCGTCTCCTTTTGTTTTCATATTTTTTCTATTTTTACCGTCATTTGTTTTATGGTTATAGTTCAGGGAGAGTAGCATAGAATTTCCATAATTTATAACATCACAGATTCAAAATTTGACCTGCAAACGATACTAGCATATAGAGGATGAAAATTGTCAATATGAGGATGTTCAAATTCTCATACCCCACATTCATCTTAGTCAAAAAGATAAAAAGAATAAATAGAATATGAAAATAAAAGAAGACACTAACTAGTAAATTTTACGTCTTTTCTTTATGGAAATTTACCGCTATGATGGTCAAACATTCTTGGAAAACCTACGTTCCACTTTGTTCTTATTTCATAAATATAGAAAATTTCAGAATGTTTTCTCCCCTTAGTAAAGGGCCTAGGGAAAGCCTTTTTCTTTTTTTTTTTTCTTTTTTTTTTTTTTATCAAACAGCTGCTTGTGTAATTTATATCCAATTNTTTTTTTTTTTTTTTTTTTTTTTTTTTTTTTTTATCAAACAGCTGCTTGTGTAATTTATATCCAATTTTCGACTTGCATAGGGTTGAAATTTGTTTCTTATATGAATATAAAAACTTTCTTAGGGGTGAAATCATCAAATTCAATGTGTACTGGCTTTCAGGTAAATTTATTGTTGCCTATATTCCTACATGTCAAGAGAAAGAATACTACCTGGCATGTGCATGTGAGGAGATATATGCCCCCCCAAGTGCTTATGTTTCATTGTTCGGCTTGACTGTTCAAGCTTCATTTCTCAGAGGTAAGTTGACTTCTTTTCTCTGCTTTATTTCTTGCACTCAAACCTTGTTCTTAAGAGGTTGGACGAGGTGTTTTCTTTTCAGGTATTTTTGATAAAATAGGGATTGAACCACAAGTGGAGAGGATAGGTAAATATAAAAGTGCTGGTGATCAACTAGCACGGAGAAATATGTCGGAGGAAAATTGTGAAATGTTGACGACCTTGCTTGATAATATCTATGACAACTGGCTGGATAAAATTTCTTCAATAAAAGGTAGAGTCGACGTGAAACTTATAGCTCTTTTCTTTTAACTAATTTCAGAAACTTCTTCGTTTATTGATTTATTTATTTATTATTTTGTTTTTTTGGGATAGGAAAGAAAAAAGAAGATATTGAAAGCTTTATTAATGAAGGAGTGTACCAAATTGAAAGACTAAAAGAAGATGGCTGGATCACCAACATACAGTACGAGGACGAGGTACTGATGTCCTCATCCTATCTGCTAAGATGTTTGGGCTTGAAATAAATATTTGCAGATGCATTTTATTTTGAGAGTTCGAGTAAGGGGATAGCGAAGTTGTTGGTTCCACAAATTTCTATGTATTTTGCTAAAAAAAACTATTATTTGGAGAGTAGAAACTTCCATTAAAGGTGAACAACAAGGGGAAATACGAAGTGAACTAAAAGTCAAAGAAACTTTAAATAATTACTCTAATTGGCATGATAAGAATAGAACTGTAATTCCAATTTCTTTTTCTTTTTCTTTTTTGATAAAAAAACTTGCTTTCATAGAGAGAAATGAAACAAATGTACATGGGTATAAATAAAAACAGCTCTAAAAAGTAGTTCAAAACCATTGAGAAGAAAACCTCGAGAGGAGCTAATGTAGAAACTAGGTAGCTCACATCTTAGAAGTCAGTGTTGTTTAATTTTTGTCTCGCTATAAAGATTATGAGTTTTGTCCTTTGTAATATTCAGATTCTCTCTATGCTAAATGAAAGACTTGGACTGCCGAAGGATAAAAAAGTTCCCATGGTTGATTACAGGTCATTAAATTCTGAGATCTTTTATCAATTATCTATTTTGGTCTTTATTGGGTTTTATTGCTGTCATGTACATTGTTCTTCCCTTCTCTTTTGTACTTTTCGTAATATCCAATGAACAACTTATGTTTGTTATTTTAAAAAACTGCCGCCAAGTACATTGTGATAAATGAATCAATCCCACCACTCAAACTCGTTTCTATTGCAAACCTTCATGCTTGATACTTGCAGTTTCAGGCTAACTAATATGGGTTCGATCCTTCCTATGCTAGATTTCTATGATTGCATTGTACTTTTGTGCCTCCATATAGAAAGAGGTTTTGGAAGGCACAGAGAAAGGAATGAATGACTTTAATTGCAGCTTGACCTATTAAGGTGTGACGGGGGAAATTTTCTGAAGATTCTTGCCATTTTTATATTGTTAGAACCTTGCAGCTGAAGAAAAGAAAAGCAATATTTCTCGTTCTCCTAAACCTTTTTAATATTGCACATCTTCTTGTCCTTTATTTGGGGGAGTGGGGTTCTTAATTATTTGTAGGGATAAACGACAAATTACCTCTTATATTTTTGCTTAAATTGGTAAATGTAATCACAACTTTTATGATTTGAACTACAAGAAAAAGGAGATCTAAAAAAAAAATCAGTTGCACTGCTGCCTGCCGAGTATTGTAATCGTGCCCTTTGTTTCGATAGTGTGTTTGTTGCGTGAAAAATAAAAGTGAAATTTCCTTTCAATGAAATGTTTGCATAATTCTATCCGATCTGTAAGTTTCATTTGGTCGGTCTTTCCATTTTGCAACTGTACTTTAAATTTTATTTCCACCGCCTTATTATCCGGCCATTTCATTTTTCATGTCTATTATTTGTGTAATAAAAGCAGGGACTATAGTTTTATCACAAGTTAGTAACTTATAATTAATTATTTTAATCCATGCACCTGTAATTTGTTTCCAATGGCTACTAACGTTATTCCCATTTATGTTGATTACCATAGGAAGTACTCTAAAGTTCGGCAATCAACCGTTGGTTTATCAGGAGGTGGAGACCAAATAGCTGTGATTAGAGCTGGAGGAAGCATTAGTCGTGTGAAAAGTCCTTTAAGTGTTCCTAGTTCTGGTATTATTGGGGAGCAATTCATTGAGAAGATTCGGAGTGTTCGAGGTAAACTTGATGTTTAAATATATCTTTGAATGATATATTGCCATCTTTTATTTATTTCATTATGAACACAGAGAAAGAGATGGGGACTTACAAATATGTAGTTTAAGATCATGGCTTTCTAATTGTGCTCATGAACTTCAAGAACCACACAGGGTATCTCATGGTCACAGTTATCAGATTCATTAAAAACTTTTAGTGAACGTGTAATTGCTCACTATGCATTTCTTTTGTTCATCCCTCTCCTTTTTGTCCTTAGAGTCGAAAAAATTCAAGGCTGCCATCATCAGAATTGACAGTCCTGGAGGTGATGCTCTTGCTTCTGATTTGTAAGTGCCAGCATACCAGCCAATTTCATTCTTTTTTGTGATACCAAGAATCTATTTCTGATGGCATCATACCGTCATATTCAACTAATTACATTTAGTTGGGAACAAAATATATAATTTTTTGTTCATTTTGTCATTTAAATCACTTTTCATCCTTCCCCATAGATAAATTCACTTTATCTTAAAACCAACCCCTCTTCAACCAAAGAAACCTGCACAATACACAAGAAACTATACAACTTTGTCCTTTTAATATCCAAAAAGTTCTCTTCACCTCATTTACTGAAATGAGGGATAAATGAAAATAGAGTGAGGAAAAAGCTTTATTAGTTTTGAGAATTGTAAGTGCCTCTACCATATTCTCTGTATCTATGCACGTGGTAGATATCAAGTAATGACAGCACATTACGTGAGATACCTTTGTCAAGCATGCTTGTTTGAGTTATCAATGAACTTCATACACTACAAAATGCATTACAATTAACTGTTGTCATTGAACTAAGTGTTTAGAGCTTGTTTGGATATATTTTCTCCCCTATAGGCCAATTTAGAAAAACAGTCTGATGAACAATTACCATAAAATATTTCTATTTTTTGTTCGTGAGTATCCAACCCAACTTATCCACTTCCCTATTTTCACGAGACAAAACAGTTTTCATACACTTTTTTAGCTGTTAAATGCTGTTTAAAAAGTTGCTTATAATATTTTTATCTCCATTTTCTTTAACTTCGATTGCATGTATTAAAAATTTGTTTTGGTTGTTGAAATTACTTGAGATAAGACGGAAGATGAGAATTCTAATTCACCATTCATAGTGCCAACATTTGGATATTATCGTTTTCCGAACTAGCTTTGTTCTTCCTCATCTTAGAACTGGTTGATAATTTACTTTTCATATTTAGAAAAGCCTTTTATCAAGTTTTTGTTCTTTAACACTTAATATGTTATATCATTAGAACTAAAATTACATCCATACTTCCACATATAAGGGGTAATGCCCATACCAAGTAGAAAATCTGGGTTCTTGATTCAATTAGGCCATTTTTATTTACATAATGCTACTGTGCCCTTACAAATAAAAATCCGTATGATCTCTGGGTTGATGAGTTTCATTTCCATTTTTAGTTGATGTTGTGTTTGTAGCATACCAATTGATGGATATCATTTCTACTCTGAGAATTGGTATATTATGTGTTGGTTGATACTCTATGGCACACAGGATGTGGAGAGAAATCAGACTTCTGGCTGCATCAAAACCTGTCGTTGCATCCATGGCTGATGTTGCAGCCAGTGGAGGATACTATATGGCAATGGCAGCTGGGACCATTGTTGCAGAAAATCTAACCTTAACTGGTTCTATTGGAGTTGTCACAGGTAAACTATAAATATCTGCAGTGAAGAAAGATTTATGCCGAAACTGCTGTAGAAAATGATTTAGATTTTTAAACTGGACCAGCTTATGTAATATGAAAGGCAAACATACGTCTTCATCTGCATCTTTAAAATTCCAAAGATAATGGAAGCAGCATAGTTTGTAGATGTACATTCTCCCGCAAAGAAAATCTGTGTGTTATCGTGGACTTCTAGTGTTGATGAATTTTCTGGCTCTAGGGAAGTTTAACTTGGGGAAACTATATGAAAAGATTGGCTTTAACAAGGAAATCATATCAAGGGGAAGATTTGCTGAGCTTCTTGCGGCAGAACAACGACCTTTCAGGTAAAATATCTCTTAGCCCTTATCAAATAGCATGTGGTATATTTAATTAATTGATGAATGAGGGATGCCAAATCCTTTGGTACTCTGTAATACAATAATTTTCTGGGTAGAACCACATTAATTATTGCCAAGGAAATAGCATAACTAAAATGATGCTTGAACATATGAAATTGATTTGAATTTCGAAGTGAATTCATAATCTCTTTCAGCCAACCAGCAAAACCAGCATCCTTGTTTTTGTTACCTATACCAGTGATCGATTAGTTCCCTGCTTATTCGTGAGACCAGCATCCTTGTTTGCGTTGGGATTCACCGCATTTCACCATATTTGCTTTGATGTACACGTGCACAGACATAGGGTCTAGCTTAACTGCCTCATTTTCACTGGAAGAAGGAAAGAATGTTCTACTTCACCATATTTGTTTTGATTCACTCTCTACTCGCTGTTGACTATCTAGAACTTGTTCTACTTCATTTGCATCTTGCATCCTTTTTTCTCTAATAATAAAAAGGTTGTCTTCTGATACAGATTAAATAAAGTAGTTTAATTCTTCTTCATTGGTGCATTTTCCCATCAATAATTAAATGTTACCAGTTTCTGATCAGACCAGATGAAGCAGAACTCTTTGCCAAGTCTGCACAAAATGCGTACAAGCAATTCCGTGACAAAGCAGCCTTTTCCAGATCCATGACTGTATGTTGGTCAAAGCATTTCCTATTTCTTATATCTATGGATTTGTCATTTTAATGTTTTAATATCTACCGCGTGTCCAATCACTAATAGGTGGATGAGATGGAGAAAGTTGCGCAAGGAAGGGTTTGGACTGGTAAACTTGCAGCATCCCATGGTTTAGTGGATGCTATCGGTGGATTTTCTCGGGCTGTTGCTATAGCAAAACAGAAAGCCAACATTCCTCAAGACAGCAAGGTTTATTTTCAATAAAACTCTTCGGACAACTTGTGACTTTCTAGATTAGAGTTTAGACCTTCAGTACCAAAGTCAATTCCATATTCAATCAAGTAGATATTTCATTATCCCTGTCCTAAAACGGAACACATTATGTTGTAGGAACTGATTAATGTGTGTATTTTTTACCTTTGTAAAAGGTTAATCTTGTGGAATTATCGAGACCGTCGCCAACGCTACTGGAGGTAGTAAGCGGAGTAGGGAGTACAATTATTGGAGTTGAGGGGACAGTGAAAGAACTGCTGCAAGACCTTGCTTTGTCAGAAGGAGTTCAAGCTCGGATGGAAGGGATTATGCTGCAGAGAATGGAGGGATTTGCTTATGGCAACTCCGTCTTTGGTTTGATAAAAGATTACCTCAGTTTCCTCTAACTTCGTTGAAAGGCAGATGAACTTTTCAAACACATTTATTGTCCAATATTTGGAACGTATGATATAGGCTCGTAGGGAGCGTCCCAATTGAACAAGAAACTGTATAGATAGTATGACAAACTTGGGATCTTTTCATGGATGATTTTGTAGAATCTTTGGTGCCATGTTATTCGTATCTGCTTTTATTTTGTTATATATGAAAATGAAAGTACACGACTAAATGGAGGCAAAGCTTATATACTTGAGCCATATATAAAAAAATAAAAATACAAATACAAATACAACTGTCAGAAGTGGGATTTGAACCCACGCCCTCTCACGAGGACCAGAACTTGAGTCTGGCGCCTTAGACCACTCGGCCATCCTGACTGTTTGGTGGGTTTGATAAATATTAATAAATTAGATCAATTTATTGTGTTGCGATATTTTTTTAGAGTTTAGAACTTTGGTGTTTCAGCAGTGGTAAGATTTCAACTAATTAATTCATTTTTCCTTTTTTTGGAATAAAATTCAATAAATTACTTATTGGTTGATGTTAGCAGTTTTATAATTTAGTTTTTTAAAAAAAAAAAAGGAAAGGAAGTTTTGGCTTTTTGATTATCTGCTAGCAGTAAACCCTATTGCCAAAATTAGATGCATAATAACCATTGAATATGAAATGGTTGTGGAGGACACAGAAAATTGTGAACCAAACTTTCATAATTCTTGTTCTTCTTGTACACAGACATGCTGGGTGCAGTTGGACTGAGATTAGAGGTAAAGTTGATAGCTTTATGTAGCAGGCAACGTTTCGATAGCGGATTCGGAGAAGATTGAGGAGACGTGGGAATAGATTGTAGTTGTGTTGTTCATGAATTGTAAGAGGTGGAAGTAAAAGATTAAGATATTGAAGAATTTGGAGATTATTGGTTGAGGTTGGAAGATGATGAACTCACTTGTTGATTTCGCTTCAACAAGCTTCCCCTCCCCCAACAGTACTTGGTAAATGGGCATGTATTGATCGAAATTGAAATGATGTCTTCCTTTTCTGTTTGAAATGAAGAAGATGAAAGCCCTAGTTCATCATCTACAAAATTTGTGATGAGAAAAACAAAACCCTAGTTCATCATCTACAAAATTTGTGATGAGAAAAAGAAAACCCTAGTTCGTCCAAGTCAGAACTACTGTTCATCATCTACAAAACTCGATTTGGTCAAGAAATTGCAGAGAACGAAGAAGGAGCACGTTAGCTATGGAAAGAAGAGCAGTAGATTGGATATGAAGTTACTTACTTCCTTTGTTCCACCTCTCCATCAGGACGTCCTCATCTTTGGGTAAAGAAGAGGATGGAGATGAAATTAGAATGGAGTAATGTGAAAATTTGAAGCCTCCCTCATTTATATGGAGAGGATGAAGATGGAGATATGCTTACAGACCTCATAACATCACAATTGACGAAAGGTTTAGCCACTTCAGCTACCTACCTATAATAGAACTGTACATTCTCATTCCTACCTCATAATTTACACGTTCTAAACAACAACAACAACAAATGCAAGTATAAAAAAAAACTGCTTTTACTTGATTGATGACTTCAAGAACGGATTCGAGGGGCGAGTACATTGAGCTTGTTGATTTACATCTCCTGCCTTCACCTTCTCACTGTTACATGAATTCAAATGTTGGTTAGTTTCAAGGGTAGTGGACTCTATCTTACTCAATGACACTGCTTTCTTCACATCTGCCGTGTCACCACCACTGTTTTCTGTTCCCTTCTTCACCACCCCTGAACTTTGTTTATCCTCTGTTCTTCCATCATTGAATTTTGCTCCGTCGGACTTCAGTTTCTTTGTAAACAGAGGTGCAGAGAGTATTGGGCCTTTAGGTGAGGATGGACGACTCACTTCTGAACTTCTGCCTTTTACTGCACAATTTAGTGTACTACTGCTGGTTGCAGCGTTAGGTAACACAGATCCACTGCACTTAGATCTTGAAAGGGTGGTGGTTTCCATGGTCCCTTTGGCTTCATTAAGCAACCTTTCCTGATATTAGAAAAAGAATAAAAGTTGATGAAAGGATTACATATAGATATATATATTATATATATGTAAATATGAGACCCCACTGCTAGATCGAAGGATTTGAGGCTGTTTCTGGGAGTTTGTCCTACCTCTAATATGGCATTGAAACGTTCCGCCAAGTTAGGAAGCTTCAAAGCAGTAACCAGCTTAATTGCACCCTTCACTGATTTCTCCAGCGACAAAAGTTTTACTAGTTCGGAAGCTCTGACAAGCTTATCACCTGGAAAAATTTCACCATCGTCAGTTAGATGAAACCTCAGATCGTAATTTTTAATTCCTTGTCAAAGGAAAAAGCCCTCAAGGAAAATGAAAGGCTAAATGTCTAAGACGTTAAAGTAAAGTTGCAAATCCCAACCGTTGCAGCAGGAAGCAATGAGCCTTAAGATGCATCTGTCTTGAGCAGCTTCAATACAGAATGCCTCATCATCTAGTTCTGTGTCGTACAACCCAAGTAATGCCATTTCCTCCATTCTCCCATGGATCTGTGTGCATACATTTACATTACTTAGTGAAAGCAAATGAAAGTAGTACCTTAGAAATAAATAAAAAATGAAAAAAGAACCATGTCAATTGAAAAATTAGTTTCTATTTCTCATAGCTTTCACGCTAAATGATGTTGACATAAGTGATGATCTTAATAGCCATAGAGAGAGTTAAAAGCTACAGAATTAAAACAAGATTGGGAAGTATCAAACTGACCTGTGTGAGGTGCATATTATTCATCATAAACTCATTCTCAAGTGCTTCTGCACCCAGGTCAGAGAGTGCAAGAGGAAATGAAAGATTTAGTAGAGTAAGAATTGGTTTAGGTGTCACCTGAAGCAGACAGAGATTACGCTCAGCAACGATACAGGGTAAATGAGTTTGGGGGAGAAGAAATTCTGTTACCTGTGGGTATGACTCAGAATTTTTGCATATCACACAGAACAACTTGCTTGTGTTCAACCCAACCACCCAATAATTTTCATCCGACTTCCTCTCTTTACGGGCACTGCACAACAAATCTGAACTTCAGACAGGAGTACAAGAAGGTAGGATGTGAATTATACTTTTAATAGATATTACCCAAAAAAAAAAATAGCATGTTGATCAACCTGAATAATGGTACCCAACTGCCACCATATTGACTTGTAAACACTCTGAGTACACCCTATAAATAACGGTAGGAAAATAAGATACATAGTTCACAATAACCAACTGAAGAATATCAACAAACTACTCGAGAGCTAACGTACCTTGGAATCGTAGGAACTCAATTTTCCTTCTTCACTAAATCCAAACCATGCGAGATGTGATCCTGGAGTTAATGGCAAATGTCCTCTTAAGAGCTGTGTTCCATTAGAGATGTTTAATATTCTGAACTCTAGCATCTGCATATTTTGAATGAAGTTCAGGTTAGACAATTACATCTTCAAGATTATAAATTCCACCATCATAAACTTTTATTCACTATGGCCGACCTACAATATACTATGTGTCCAATAGAAATTCGTAAGATAGACATCAGACATCCAATGCATAGATTCCACGAATCAATCATGCTCAAAATAGAGGAAAGTCTGATCGAGTATAGACCTGGTCGTTTGAGGGAAGACAGGTAGAAGAATGAGTCACAAATGCAAGTTCATCCTTGAAGCCAGATGCAGTCACCACTGGCCCATCCAGAGAAAGAATATGTTTCTGAAATAAAGCCATTAAGCAACATTAATATTCAATGTAAAACTTACCATCACCTTCATTCCCAAATTTGGCTGGACTTTTTCGTGCAAGGATATTCAGGCAGAAAATTAATGGTAGTAAGATCCTTATTAGTTAAGGATACAATTGGCGTTTAACTCAAGTTCCTAGCTTCTTAAAGCTAACAAACAAATACACATCAAAGTCAATATAATCGTTTGCTGCATTCTGAATCATCTCTCCTGGTTTTGTGTTATATATCATAAGGTAATTTGGTTCTTAAATTGCAATAAAATAATAATAATAATAATAATAATAATAATAATAATAATAATAATAATAATAATAATAATAATAATTCTGAATGTGAAACACTAAACTCTAGCATTTAAACTTAAGGTGATAAGAGGGCATAAGTTGCGAATATGCAGCTAGTTAAGAAATCTGTCCAACAAACCTGTAAACCACCATCTGTGAAGATGCGAAGATAATTAAGACTTGTAAATGCAGCCACCCATCTGGTACCAACTGCCACGACCTTAACTTCTTCTCCATCAAATCTCATCGACCACTGAGTTTTTACAGTAGATATCCAAGTCAGCATAGTTTAGTAGCCATAGAAAGTTGCACCATTCGTATGAAGCTGAGAAACTTGTAAACTATAAGTAAAAACATTCTAACCTCGCTGTTATTTGCCCAGCTACCAAATGGGCGATACATTAGAGTGCTCATATTCTTCTCACCCTTACAAGGGTTTGCAAAGACGCTACCATTTTCATTCAGTGCAGCCATTGTAAAACCAAAATGATCATTCATTGAAGGAACTCGCGGGCCACTGCCAGTGTCATGGAAATCTATCTGAAAAGGGACAGCATCAGTCATTTAGAATATAGATAAAAGTTGTATCATATCCCTCATGAATTTGATTCCTATCAAGTGATAGCACATGAATGAGAGCAAGCAACAATACGGCAGAAACCTAAAAGGTTTAAGTTGAAGGCTCAGGATTACCTCTATGTGGGAGTACCCATCATGTTCAAAAGTTGTTATACTTCCAAGCATATTGTAACACAAAAAGCGTTTCTTTCCTGGCTGCAAGGGAGTAGCTCCTGGTTGAAATGCCTCCCGTAGTTTCAATTTACTATATGTTGCAATGTTTATATCTCCCTCATCAATATTATCTGTCTTATCTTTTTTAACACGACGTGACATTTTATAGGATTCCGACTTCGGGAGAAGGCTAAAATCTTCGCTATCAGCCTCATCCAGGATTTCTTCATTTGTTGAATGCTTACGCAACCTTTTTCGAGTTGGAAATTCAGATTCATAATGGCTATCTTCTCCAAGATCACTCAAATTGCCATGTTCACTAGGCTCCTCATCCTCTTCATCAAACAAGAGCAAGCCGTTGCTATTCCTTGATTGCAATTTTGGGATATCTTCAGTTGGAGATTTCATAGAAGATGGAACAACTGATTCCCACACCCCATACTTACCCATGACATCAATAACAGCCAATGCATTGCCAATTGGCTTCCATGCCATGCAACATATTCTCTCGTCAAATTTCTGTCTATCAATATCCAGCTTTTGATCAACATCCCATATCAGAATTTGCCTGTCCAAGGAAGAAGTAGCCATGTATTTTCCGTTAGGTGACCATGACAGGAAACAAATAGGCTGGGTGTGATCTCCCCTCAATGAAAATAGCTTTTCAGCAGTATCTCTATCATACATCACAACATCATTTCTTAATCCTGGGACTGCTAACATCTCGCCGTCAGGGCTCCAGCATAAAACATTCAGAACGGAAGGGTCCGAACCTGTGCTAGGAGCTATGCCTTTAAGGTTATGTATTATACTTCCAGATTGGAGTTCCCAGAAAATTACAGTCCCAAATGAATCCACCGATGCCATGTACTCACTATTGGGGTCAAACGCCAACCCAGTAACGGCTGCTTTATGTCCTTTCAGAACCCTAGCAATTGAACCATCAATCGTGTTAATTAGCTTAATACCATCGTCATCGCCAGCTGCTGCCAAGAGGCTTCCGGACTTATTAAACGCAAGGGTACGTATTGGCAGCGTAAATCTTGTGATATTGGTCTCAAATTCTCCACCTGCAAACCATCGACCTCGTAAAATTACAGGAACATAATTCCCAGAGAACTGTGAAGCTAACAAGATTGATCCTAAAATACATTTCTGGGGGAAACAAACCAACTCAAAAGAAAATGAGGCAACATTCAAGATTTCGACAGATCTGAAAGTTATCATTCATAATTCAAAACTAATCGAAGCAGTTCATAGTAAAACTAACATTTCCAATACCTAACCATAGCTTTTGAAATTCAGAGATTCCACGTTAGAGAACAATTAGCAAAACCAAAAGAATCATAATATAAGTTCAGCTTAACGAATGCCAGAAGAAATACCGGGAAACTTGTAAAGCTTGACGGATCGATCCATGGATCCAGAAGCGAGGCAGGTGGAATTGGGGCTAAGAGCCAGAGCCGTGACCCCTTCGCGATGATGATGAATGATCTTCGGGTTATTAGAAGGAAGAAGAGAATCATGGATGGATATGGCGGATTCGGAAGACGAAGCAGTGACAATATGGTACGCTTGTTGATCCCACAGGACGGAGCAAAACGAAGCCTTGCCATTGCTGGCTGCCTTGTGGGCTTCTCGGAGCTTCACCGACCGGATTTTCATAGCAACTCCAGTAATCTCCTTTCAATTAACGAACTGAGTATATCTTTCTTCCGGCTTTTGTTCTAGTTTCGCCGGAGCAGCCAAGAATGGTAGTGGAACCTCTCTGGTCGATGATTTTCTATCTATACCTCTTTTTTAGGCGGGAAATTTGATGAACATATTTCAGATTTCGCGGGAACTTCCGATAGTAATGGGCCTAATGGGCTCTTGAACCCTCTGCCCCATTATATTTGGGCCTACTTCCCATACGGCCCACTATAACAACCACCGTCACCAATTTCCGTATAAAATAATTTCCTTTTTTTTCTTTTTTTTAAACAGTATAAATAGTGCAATAAATAAATAAAATAGGTTCTTTTAAGTACAATAAACAACCTTCAATCTCTCTAAACAATTTTTTTTAGTGTATAATCTAATAGTAATTGATAATAAATTCAACCATTTGATTATTGCATTAATTATTGCGCTAATTATGCTTGTCACACTTCAATATAATATGTATTTTATTTTTAAAATATGAATTATAAAAGTCTTAATTATTTTAGAAGATAACACACATATATATACACCATTGTTTTATATTTGAACTCGTCTAAAAATTACGCTAAACTAGATATCTTGACTAACAAATTATTCAATGAAGCCGCTACAATGTGACTGTCTCTTAATAATTATTGAATATAAATTTAAAAATTTGTCTATTCAATAAAAAATTATGCATATTTATGATCTCTCTTTGGTTCTAACGAGTCGCTAGCATTGTAGCAGCTTAATCGAATAAAAAAAAATGACCCACATCGACTATGTAAGCTCTTAGTTGTCTAATTAAAAAAACATCATGTTGTTCATCTATTAATAATTTCACCATACAAGGCCCGGCCCAATTATCAGCCCAACTCAGATAATACTATAATTGCAGGCCCAATAAGTTTAATAATATTGAGATTAAAAAATGATAAATACATTTTTTATGGTGAAATTATTAGAATATTGAATGAAAATTGATACGATGGTAACACAACTAATATTTTAAAAAGTTTATAAATTATTTAGTATTTTTTATAATTTAGCCAAAAAAAAAAAAAGATCACGTGGTAAAGCACGTGAGAGGAAACACACGTCAAAACCTTATGAGAGATCTTAAAAATGACCCATACACGACAGGTCACGGTGGAAAAGCGAGGCACATGCTCCCACTACCCTTCTTTTATTTATTGATTTACATCTCTTCTGCTTTTTTGGTAGGCCCGGCTCCGGAAATTCGTGGGTCCCACCTACCAGATTTCTCCCCCACGTGACGCCGTCACGAGAAAGAGATGGAGAGATTCAGATAATCCCACCGCCCCCCCTCCCCCGCATGCCCGGCACGTGCCTCCACCCCTACTATTATTTCCCTTTTTATTTTTTATTTTCTTAATTCAAATTTCAACTACAGGCTAAAATATTACTTTCTACTCTCACCGTACTCCGAGATTAAATTATATATTATTAATAAAGTACATTTTGAAAAAGTGTATAAATATTATTTATTTATTTAAATAAAAATTCCAAACTATGACTCGCTGTTAAAGAACGTGACGGGATCCGTTAACGGCGTGAGAAAATGGGTGTTAAGGGTCCCCACCGCACGCGAGGAGTGGAAGAAGAAGACGAAGAGCAAAGGATGGGCGCACGTGAGCGGGTTGGGGGAATCACGTGCAGTGACCATGCAATTAAAACGACGTCGTCCAATACCCTATCCGGCTATCCTCTTCCTACTGTTAGGGCGTCACGTTAGGCCACTGACAGATTGCATCTCCTCTCACATGCCTCTAACAATTAAATTAAAATCATCCACCAACAATAAAAAATTAAAAATTAATTAATTAATTAACGAAAATGACCTCATCCAAACAAAGCCATGGGTTTGGCTTATACTTTCAACTCGCATGTTCTTCGGTAGGATTATATTATTTTTATAACCTATGCTTTTTATTCTTATTATTATTATTATTTAATTTATCATGAAATGTCACAAGGGCAAGAAATGAATAATCCGAAAATTTATTAATTTTTTGTTTGGAGCAAAAAATAATAAAAGCATCGCTTAAAAGTGGGTGCTGCCAACGGAGAGTGTTGAGTTGGCCACGTGAGGACGTGGTGGGCTAACATTTTTTATAATCACGTGATACCTTCCGGATTGAACGGGGAGTCCGCCACGCGTCCATATTTTATAATTAATTTCATTATTAGGCTGTAATTAAATTAAAGTAATCCAAAGTTTGATTGGATATTATGCGACAGTCACGCTCTTATGATTTGTTAACGGATCCCTAAACGGATTCCCTTCGCCAGAGAATGTTTATGTTACGGGGGTAACACTCTGTTCTGTTACCAATCCATAAGTATTCGATATTAAATTAATTAATGTTAATCTTTTATTATATTAATTAATTTACCGCCACGTCATCAAGTCCCGCCATTTCCTCGCCCGCTCTTGCTGGTTCCCGATACAACTTTCCCCGCTCTTATCGTATGGTTTTGCTTTAACAATAATTATAATTTTTTCTAATATTTTAAATCATTTTCTCTAAGATTTGAGTATAACTATGTTATTGTGGGCTATAATTATTCACTATTATATTAATTTAACCATAAAGTTGTATTTAAATGAGACTAATTAATAATTATAAAGAGAAAAAAAAAAGGACCATATGGTATTATTATTTATAAAGAAGGTTCGTGCATGAACCTAGGCAGTGTGAGTAGATGTTTCTTTGTACGAGAATCTTTTATTATTTGGAATCAAATGTACATGTAGCTCCGTAGCAGCCTATGACCCTAGCCTCGGGACTCTCTTTTTTTTTTTCTTTTTAGCATTAATTTAAAGGTTATTCATTATTTATTCTATAATAAAATGCTATATAGTCCAAAAGTTTAGATTATAGTTTTAGAAAATACAATAAATCCATAAATTGATCACTACCCAAATAAAAAAATAAAAGAAAATTGAGGTAAGTGACGGTTTCTTATTTAAGAGGATTTTAGTCCCCAACCCAATATGTTTATTTTCGATAATGAAACTCGTTATGTTTAGCATCGAGTTTTTGCCACTTCACTGTCATATTTAGGTGTTGAAAAGATACCTGATAGAGTTAGACTTCAATAGGGATTCAAAATGATCGACTAAAAACTTAATTTCATTGTAGTGATAGATCGAAATTCAAGAACAACATCAAATTTCATTTAGATTGGAGTTAAATATAGTAGGATTAAAAAATATATATAATGTTTAAAATTTAAAATTCTGTTTTTTTTTTTTTTTTTTTTTATTGGCCTGCAGCTATTACTTATTTGGTAGGAGTTGATTTTGAGAAGGTTATATTTAAGTATTTATTGTGTGGGTGAGAAGACAAGAGCTGAGAGTTGCAGTGGCTTGGTCGGCTGTGCTAATCCGCAGTTTCCCTTTTACGAACGTCGTCGTCTTCTGCCCTTCTTTTTGCACGTGAGCTGCAGGTCAACCGAAACTACTCCGGGCCCACCTAACTCTTTTTTTTTTTTTTTCTTTAAATTAAATTAATAAAATTACCTTTAATTTTTTTAAAAAAATATTCATAAATTTTAATAATATTATTAAAATTAATATATATATATATTACTTTTAAACTTACAAAATACCTTTGCCATTATTTTTTTTTTACATAAATTATTTTGAATTTAAAAAATATCTTTATTTTTTTTAATTCAAAAATATTTTTAATTTTTTTTAGTACCGAAAGTATCTCTAACAAATTTAGAAAAAATCTTTAAGACGTGGATAGACGTTTCTTTACCTATATTGATTGTAATAATTTTTTATATAAGTAAATAGTGTTGTGTTACCTTAAAATTTTATATCTACTTTTTGAATATAATATTTTTTTTACTTCGAGAAATGAAGTGAAAATATATTAATGAAAATTTTAGAATTTAAAGATGTTTTTTAAAATAATATTAAAAATTCAATGATATTTTAAAAATAAATATTGATGGTTTTCTTTCAACATTAACGATAAGGGTATTTTGGAGATTTGCTCAACGTTAAACTGTATTATTAAAATTTTTTAAAATTTAGTGATATTTTTAGATAAAATATAAAATTTATGAGTGTTTCGATTAATTTATATATAATGTCAATATTAATTCCTATTAAAGTTAGTTAAAAAGTATTTATAGGGCAAAGTTAAAATTCTCTACTTTTACTCGGACAAGTATTTTATAAAAAAGGTTACATTAACTATAATTTGATCCATGTGTTCAAATTCGGACCCATCACTTTTCACAAATATTATTATAATTATACAAAAGAAGGCGAGGGCATAGCTGTTGCTCCAAGATTCGTTGCGTGATTAAAATTTAAATTAATCAAACATATAATAAGAACTGCTACTATATTGATAGGAAAGGGATATGAACCACATATTAATTAAAAAATATATATATATATATATGTTACTATATACATTGTCACGCCAAGCTGTATCATGTTGCTTTATGTGTACAAACTTTGTCAATCATTATCCAACTGAATTAAATTACATTAATGAGCTTTATTTATAACACAATTTAAATTAACCCTAATTTACGATATGTACTATGTTTTTAAAATTAAATCGAGGGACACGTGGCAGTCAAACCTTATAATTAACCAACGTTGGTTTAGTAGTTAATTAATTAATTGTTTATTTTATTAAGTTAGTAATTGGGATTTGTGCCCGCACTTATGAGAAAGATTTATAATATTAAATATTGAGAAAATACATATAAATAAGAAAATTCAATAATCATATTTCTTAATTTAAAACCGGGATAAGTAAAACTCTTTTGTTTATTTTTTTTAATTTTAGTTAAAAAAAGGATTAAAACGTGAAGGTGATCAGCCTCCGTGGATTATAATTACACCACACAGAGAAGAAAACGGGACGGAAAATTCGTGGAGGCTAGCATAAACGCCGTCCGCCCGCCGCAACGTCGTCAGCCAAACGGCGTCGTAACAAACGGAAAACAACTACCTGCGCAATTTGGAAAGAGGGACGATCGCCGAGTGTGTAAAAAGATCGG